ATAATAATAATAATAATAATAATAATAATAATAATAAAACGGCAACTAACATTCGTTTCGTGCGACGTCCAGGATGCGTAACATCTGGCTTCTTATAAACACACTGAATATGAAGCATCTGATCAACTTCCGGGAACAGTGCTTTTCTTTGGCTCTTCTCATTCACTTTTCGCAAAACATCAATTGCTTCTCGCGTCTGAAAACCGAAGCATTTTTGACAGTATGATCAGCCGCTATTTCACTGTTGTGTTCCTTTTCGCCACTAATGCAGAATCTGACAAATTCTCCACTCTTCTCTATTGTATTTTTGCTAATCCTCGTAAACCTCCATAAGTGTTCAGGTAGATCTTTCCAATTCAGTAACGGCTTTTCAGCGTTCGATAAATTTATCTAAAGTACCACATCAAAATCTATTTTGCCCAAATGTGGCTCCCCCACAACTACTTCTTGAAATAAAAGCCGAGAGCTACCAAATGAAAAATTTCCTGAAGAAAATTCAATAATTTTTCATAAAATTACAATACAACTGATTAGTCATCCGTTTAAAATCTTTTGAAATACTGAATTCTCGGAAGAAATGTCACGTACTAATACCATAAATAAACCCAAAAAACTACATTTTTTTCAAAAACGCACCTGTTTCTGGACTATACTGAGTGCTCTGGAAACAGCTTCATCATCATTTATATTTTCTTGCATACCCAACTTGCTCTCATCAGCATCGTCATCGCTTTCATTTCCCAAGCCCGGCTTCGTATCCTCACCTGATTCCATTTCCTGAAAGCGCTGACCAATATTATCCTCAAAAAGCCAGAAAAAAGTTTACAAAGGCATTAAGTTTCAAGTTTTATTCTGCGAGTTAAGAGAGGATCAAGGGGTAGTAAAAGTGAAAAAAAAGGCGGTTTTTAAGCAAAACAAGTCTAGCTGGTGGGCACAGCATAACTATTCTCGTGAATTTGGTACTGCCAATGGGACAAGCAATCTCCCTACGATTCGTTCAATCGTTTTCATGGTAAAACTAAAACAGTTGCATGCCAAATGGCCGCTAATCATCAGCTTATTTTTAAGCAACCCTTGAAAGAGAGAACCATCAAAAGTCTTCTCGGCGGATGGCCATTCTGGTCATCTGCTATCATTCGCGAGCTACCTTCGGATATTGCCGCCTTTCACAAAGATGGGTGAATTATGAAGTATCTGTTATGCTTATTTAAGAAAAAGATTAAAAGCCTGAATATTGCTTGGCGTAACCACCAGACAGTGCTACCGTCTAGCAACCAGGGGGCGGTCCCAGGGCGGCCTTCTGAGAGGAGCAACGAGCATTAGGGAGAAGGGAGGAGGGGGAAGGAAGTAGGTTTGCCGGTAGGGTAATGACCGGGACGACGAGGGGAGGGGGCAATAGTTTTCTGCAGCTTTAGCACTGCCACCTGTGCTGCTGGGGGGACCGTTCCCTCCCTTCCCGTGGATCCGCCTATGCGAGCAACTGAAGAGTATAAAGCTCCCAGTATTGGGGACAAATGCTGATCATCCTTACCCCTCATTTCCCAGTGAATTTTGAGTCTGGACTAGCAAGTCACAAGTTGATCTATTAATCTTCAACGCCCGTTTCAGCATTTCACGGCTGAATCACCTGGGGCCTAGGCAACCCAATTTAACCAACAATTCCACCACCATCTCTCCTTTGCCCTTCAACCCTCCTCCCCTACCTTCTTCCCATCTCTTTTCGTCACTGAAACAACACCTGCGAAAAAACGTTTAATACCAACAATACCAAAGTAACCGCCCGAATAACGGGAACTGAGTAGTATTCCATGTTAGTGATGTTACTAGGATGCTCCCACACGCTGAGCGCAGCTATGCCAAACCCAATGGTTCCAAGCTGCATACCTCCAGTTAATATGTGTGTGTGTGTGTGTGTCACCTACTTCATAAATAGCAAGAAAACAGCTTACTTCCTCGTTCGCTTCGTTGCCAACCAAAATGTCTGCTATGCTGAAAGCGAAATTTTCGGAAATTCAAAAAATGCGTTACGTGCACTGTTTTTTTGCTGCCAGAACAGTCCACTGAAATGGCATATGTAAAATTATTAAGAGGCCATTTCAAGGTGCTGAAGTGCGCAAATTCGAGACGCAGGAACAAAACGAGCGCTATCACCCCCCACCCCCTCCCCCCCACAGCTTGTTAGGCCTAGCCCTGCGCGATTTTAGAGTCTGTCCAGGCCTATCTGTCCTCCGGCACCATTTAGGCCTCTCCGTCCCTAGTCCATCTGAAAAAATAAAATGAAGCATGATAAATGTAATTAAGTCAAATTTTTGCCCCCCCCCCCTTGTTAAGCCTACCTTTGGACGATTTTGGAGCCCTGTTCAGGCCTACCTGTCCTCCGACACCATTTAGGCCTGTCCGTTCCTAGTCCATCCAAAGAAATAAAGTGAAGCATGCTAAATGTAATTAAGTCAAATTGTTGATGGGGAAATGACCAAAAATTGAATGTGTAGCACAGGCGGATCTAGGGCGGTCTCAGGAGGCCGA